TACTTTGAGTAGGAGATCAGACTACATAACCTCCCTAGGTCCCTTCAAACCTGTATTATTCAATAATTTTATGACTTCATTGGTTGCACAACTAAAAAATTCTTCAGTTAGCCTCTTCTAAATAAATCTAATAAAAGAGAGAAATCCTGATTTCCTTTGCCAGGTTTCAAAAGAAAACAAATGTTAGCACCAAGTTCTCAAGGGGAGTGGGGGGATGACATAAAAACATTTTTGATCCTTTCTACTGCAGGTTGTCAAGTTAAAGCCAGAAATTTTAAAACATTCACTCTCAGAGGAAAAATGTCAATTTAAAGAAGGAAAAAATACTTACCTACTAGAGAGAACTGTACCTGCAACATGGCTTCTATTAGAAATTATGCTAGTTTAGTATACTTTAAGTGTATAGCTAGTGTCTTCACCAAAGTGCATGTACAGTTTTACTCTAAATATTCTTTATCCTACCTTAAATATTTTTGCAAACTGGGATCATTAACTCCCTGTTTGCCATATCACTAGTAGCTAATCAGGTTGAAAGAGCTCACGCTACTTAGTTAACATGCATTTTGCAGCTTTGCATATTTTTTAGTTTTCTATTTTTAAGTATATATTCTTTAATCTTTTCAGTCATAATTTTGGAATATTAATAATGAAATGTAACTGCAGCATAAGGACAGAAAACCTGATTGGGTCTTTTTACTGTTGCTCTTCCAGAAGTCTTAAATTCTTTTGCAGCAATGGAAAGAAGAAAGATTACTGCATAAAAAGCCTCCAGAGTCCAATCAAGCAGCATGAAGTCCATCCAGTTACATCTGTGTCAAGGAAAGAACTCCCTCCCACTGTAGCCTCATGACCTGTCCTGCTACCTTCCTGCTTCTGAGCTCAGGAAATTAATGCAGACATACATCCCATCTTCACCTCTCTTCCTTCATGTCCAAAATAAGCAGTCAGAAATGGCATCATGATTTTTACTAGAAATAATAGAATAATATTCATGTACCAGATAACAGGAACTGTGGTCTGATGGAAGACTAAAAGAAGTAGAGAGCTGCTTTGCTTGCCTTTGTAATACTTAATGAGACACATGAGAACAATCTGCAAGTACCTCCAGGGTACAAACAAAAAAGGAGTAATTTACTGAGGTGAACATGGGGAACATGTGAAAATGAGAGGTAAAAAGAGAGTATTTATAATAACTATATGGGAAAACTTCCAGACAGCAAGCTGTATCAGCCCAGAACATTTCTGCCTGCTAATTTCCCCATTGCTTGTAATACAATCACTCATTTTTAAAAATTCTCTTTTTTCTTTCTTTTTGAGCTAAAGAGGAGAAAATTCCTTATCAGGAAGAGAGCAGCACGGGTAGGAGGTGGCCTGAACGATCCAAATCATCTTCTAACCTCTAAGCCTTCTAACCTCTCCTAGCATGAGTCATGTTACACCCAAGCCACAGGGTAACATACATAACATGAACAGATACACAAATGTGATGTTCCCATCTGGTAATAACAGTTAAATCAATTAGGACTGGCAATAAGAAAATAGTACTAACATACTTGAAATCAAGTAGTGTCCTCTTATGTTGTTGGCTTCAGTAGGAATGAAGTGAAATCATCTTTCGCTTGCATTCCAGCTTGTGTCTCTACAACTCTGCAAATAGCTGGGAAGGTGATAAAGAATTTTTCTTCATCAGCTAGATTTGTAGCACAGCCATATGGCCAGATGAGTAACATCTCAATTCTTGATAAATATGGAACTGAAGTTCTTAGTAGGAAAACTGAATTTAACTTCACTTCTGCAAATGTGTAAAAATCTGTTTTGGAAGTTTTTCTGTAATGTGGACCACAAATAGTAACTGTAAAATGTACAGAAGTGGAAAGCTTGTGTCAAAAGCACTTTATTTGACCCTGCTCTACCCAAAATATCCTTACTTCCTGTGCTCAGTTTAATCCATCGAATCTACAACCATTTTAGCTGTATAATCCAATACTTATCTTATACATTTGTGTGAGTTTACGTACTGTGAACATTAGAGAGAAAGGATTTAGTAACAGCCTCTCAACCGACATTTACAGGGATTATGGTTCTTCAGTCCCCCAGTAGTGCTAACCTTATATTTTTCTCTTATTTCCTCAGTTTAAGAGTTCAAGTACAAAATTTCTAACATTAGGAAAACATCAAATTTTTAAAAACACAGAATATCCTCCTTAACAGCCAGGATCTGCTTGAGTTCAGCTTCCCTGTAACCAGCATTTCTGCCTCCTGCTACTTCACGGTGAGTAAGTAAGCAAAGAAATATTTCAAGTGCCTAATGGGGCAACCTGCTAACTAAATTAAATATGATAAAGGAATGGGATCTTAGACCAGTCATGTGTATAATCATAATTAAAACATACTACGAAGCAGGAGTTTTGAGCAGGATGATCTCCATGGCTTCCTCACCTGCAGAGATAACCAGGCCTGGGGAAGACTTACCCCAGGCACTTAAAACACCACAAACACACTCCCTCCCAGGAGTTTCCTAGGAGAGATAAAGGAGTTTATACTCTGGCCAATGTTTTATATGATTGCACAGAAGCAGTATTAAGCTTCAGCATTCAGTGCAGGGAGCTCAAACCTGCAGTTTTGTACATATTTATTTTTATCTCTGAAAACACAGGCAGGGAATTCCACACTATGGGAAAACAGGAGAGGACCGTAATCTTTAGGATTTACTGGGGCCCATGGTTATGAAAGAGAACTACAAGCCTTTCACAGTGAGTTTGTATCTGCAGCAACAACTTTCCTGATACGTAGAGAAAAAAATGCAGACATTTGGTCAAAGATCTTGATATAGACTAGACAATAAATTTCCTAACTCCTAGGAAAGCCCACTACTGTGCCTTTGGAAAGATAAAATTTGAGAGGTAAATATTTAATCAGTGGCCTGAATTGCTGGACAAGAAAATTTGAAACAGCCTAAGAGAATCTGCTACAAAAAGGTATGCGTGTTCAATAGCTCCAGATTACCACAGTTACATGAGCATGCTTCAGCATTCACAAATATTGTGGTCCACTTAAGCACACTTCTCAAATGGTTTACAACAATTTGAGCATTTTGAATCCTAACTAAATTATCAAGACTAAACTCACACCTGTAAATTTCTACTTGCCAGGAGTTTATCCATTAAATGCCTCCCTCTATACACATTGGGTACATTAATGACTAAATCTCTACCACATGGAGCTGAATTAAATATATTCTGTAATTTTCTCAAATTTTGCACTACAAGCTAAACTTCATGCATCTGAACAGAAAAAAAAAAAAGAAAATATTGATTGGAGATTTTGTAGAACTTCACACAGGCTCTTTTTTCTTCCTTCCATGTTAGCAGTAAAACATTTCCCTGGTTGATCGGATCACTAACCCCATTTGGGCTTCAGAGTTTGTTAGAAGTAACTGGAACAGCTTATCCAGCCCAGCAGGCTGCAAGCACCAGCATGCATGGCTACCTTGATGTAGATGCAGCTGACTTGCGTTCCAAGATACCGTGAGACACATAGCATGGCAGCCCAAATCAGCCTTGATTTTTACCTTTTCTTCTTCATTCCTCTAGAGGTGTTCACTTTGTAGGTTCCACTCTTCAATGTCTTTGAGAAGTTTATTTAGGTTGCAGATTAACTGTGCCATACAATGCACCCCAGTACCACTATGACCATGCACTGTGTGTATGCACGTGTGTATGAGCAAAGGGCGTGGGACAGGGAGGAAGGGTGTATAACAGGCTCAGTTACCCTGCATATCAGAGAATCAACTTTATATTCTATTCCAGATTGTGGCAGGGTCCTAGAGACAAAACGAAGCTTGCATAGATTTAATCTGTAAGCTAAAACTTTATGTATAATTTTCACACGTACTGGTGGGCAGTATGTTCAAGCCAAGAGAGACATATTCAACAATCCCGGAATAAAAAGCAAACTTATTTATGTACATATTCTAAGATTATTTCAGTTTTAGCTTTAGGTTATAGCTTTTCTCAGGACTCTGCAACCCTTTATTCCTTTTTATTTGTCTGATCTCACTGTTGACCCAGCTTGCAGCAGGACTGACTAGAAATCCCTTGAAGTCCCTTCAAGCCTGAATCTTTCTTTAATCCTATGATTCTACAAAGAATGGCATCTTCATCACTTGTTGATCACCCATTTCTCCTACAAATTCCAAAAACCCTGTAAGTGTTCAGCTTACACAAGTGAAAGTTTAATCATTTCAATTTAAAAGATAACAAGAACTCTCATCCCGTGATATGTCTCCACTTTGGGGTCTACAAAACCGAATACAAATTTGAAACTCCATTTCCTTTTTCAAATCAGCATTGCTACTTAAGTCTTAGAACACCATGAAAAAGAAATTTGATTGTTTCTTTTATCTACTTGTGGTAATTGCCACAAACTGGTCTCATGCTGAAAAGCTTGCTATCTATCACTCTTCTGCTTTTATCACATCTATCATAGTTTGGCCCTGATCTACAATATTCAGAACAATAACACATTCCAGCTAATAGTTCCAGCTAACAAGGCCATGTGTAACAACATTTAATTTAAACACTCATCACACCAGCACTGGGTGTGCTGCCTGCAGAGAGGTTTAGAATCACAACCTTTCCTGCCACGCGCAGAACGATTCGTTATTCCACCATCACTATCATTTTCGTGCTGAAACTCAAACTACAATCTGTCATGGTTCTTCCACAAGGCACCTCTTTGAAAAAGCCTCAGTACCACACCAGAAAAAACACAGTTTCACAGTCTACCGAGAGACTGATCGCTCCCACGCTGAACCTTTCCCTGGAGTCTTGCTGCACAAATTAGGACTGCTGTAGTACTGCTGCCTTTCAGCCTTGGCCAGCAGAGCAGAAACAGGATTTCCCCTTCAGCTGGGATGAAATAGCTCTTTTTTCAAGTTAGAAATAGGATTTCACTTAAGGAAAGCTCATAAAGATTTTTGTGGCATGGACTACACTTACCTCCTGGACAATGCCTCATGGCCATTTTACACCGTCTGGATTCTGCGATGGTTGGGCACAGTATTGTGTCTTTCGCTGGCTTCTTCACAATTTGTCTTGTTCTCGTTTCCAGGCCCCACTTAAATCCACATGTTTTGTTATTTCTGCTGCAAGTTCCCCACTCACTCCACTGACCCACTTCACAGCCTTCTGATAAAGCAAAAGAAAACACTAGTAAGCAATTCTTCTGCTGTTTTTTTTGGTTTTTTTTTTTTTAGATTAGAATACACTACTAGAAAGCACCACTTGAAAGTTTGACTGCTAACAGGCAAAAAACTAGAAACAAAATTAAAAACTCATACAGAACCTGAAAGAATCTTTTTAGCCGGCATCAACCTGAGCATAAAAACATCAGACTACTAATCTGCATGTATAGATATCATGTCAGTCCCAAATATTCAAAAACCCTCCTAAAATCATGAGATTTATTTTTTAGAAAGAGAAAAATTGAAATCAATCTTGTTTGGTTGTCACCTGGATCTGCAAAGCTCAAGAATTCACATTTCCAGGTCTCCATGACAAAATGCAAGGAATACTCTTGAAAGAGTGAGCCTGTTTGACACAATTCCCAGGCTTCAAGGTAAAACACCCAATTGTGAGACTCAGGAAATATTGTAAGAACTGCCAATGCTGGGTTCAGAGTTATAAAGTAAATTTCTACTTAAACCACTTATCTGGTGGTTTATATTTGTTACTTGCTAATGGAAAAGGGGGGAGCTGCAGAGAAACTAAAAGTGAACTTGAAGCCCAGATGCCACAGGAATTCAATCTGCCCTGCCCCTGGTTTCCGGCCTGGGTAAAAGGCAAAATGAGCAGGTAGTTTTATGAGGGCGAGAGTCCAACGAGTACATCATTGACTTAAAGTTCTAATGCAAAAACTGGCCTTTCTGAAGTCTTACAAATTCAGAGTTATAAATCCTCATACAAGGTGATTTACAGTTAAGAGGACAGAACTTTCTGATGCAGAACAGAGTGACATACCCAATAATGCAATATTTCAAAGTTTGGAAAAAACTGCTTTTTTTTTTTTTATTATTACGGATAAAGAGATCCAGACACAATCCATTAATGAATATTTCTTGATAGAAAATACTATGCATCAGCTTAAAAATAGTGTCCTAAGTACTTGAACCTGTCCACCTGGCAAAAGAGCTGCTTCAGCAGCACTGTTGTGCTAGAAGACTCACCTACACATTCCATAAGCTCTTCCAAGGCTGCAAATCCAGGGGGGCATCCTCGGAAGCAGCGGCCTCTGTGCGAGTAGAAGCCAGTTTTGCATTTGGTACAAAAGTCTCTGCTAAAGCAGGAGTCGCAGTTTTCTATTCTGCATCCTGAATCAAAAGGAGCATAAGGAACAATGAGACAGCTAAGTCAGGGTATGACTAAAAATGAAAGTATTTATAAAGCAATAAAATAGCAAAATCAGAAGTGCTATAATGAGGAATACTGTCATCCTGAAATCTGTCTGTTCTATAAGAGAAATTAGAGTAACTGTAATTATTTACCACATTTTCCCCTACATCTTTTTCATCCTGTTTTTTTTTTAATCAAAACTGTAGAGAAAACCTCAAGTGATATTTGAGTTAATTACATCTTTTTGGAGGAAAAACGTTCAATGTAAATTATTTTTGTGTTTAAGCAATTTTGAGGAAACTAAGATGTATCAAATTCTTTTGGGAAGCATGCATGTATTAAATGTACTGTCTTCAGTTTATTATTTGTCATTGCAAGCAGGACATTTTTTTTGCCATAAGTTGACACTATAAAGAGCTGAATGAATGCTTTCATGCATCGTGTCTATGTCCATATCTACACATAGGCATGTGCTACCATGCAAAAAACCTCAATTTTTCTGGATATAATGCCCCTCTACTGTTAAGGAAGTTAATCCATAAAAAATAGCTATTATTAAATGGCTAAAAGAAAGACAAAGCTATAATCAATAGTAAAAGAACCCAAAATGATTGCCTTTTGAAATATTGGATTTCTCTGAAAAATGAAGAGAAATATCATCCACAATAGATACAGACTCAGAAACAGACTATTCAGAAACATCCTATTCCATAGTAAACCATGGAAACTTGGAAATGAAGTGGATGTCAACAGTCATATGCACACCTGCAAAGCAGAAATACTTACATGGAGGCTTATGAAAGTCAGTCACACATACCTACAAAAAAATGCCAGGGAGAAATGTTCCAAAGATTAAAAAGTAAAAGCTATTATATTTGGAACATTAATGAACACTTTAAAATTAATTTTTAAAAATCTAATCTTTCAACTATCATACATAATTTACATAAACTACATTAACTGTATCCTGTCTTCAGCTATCTGAAGTTGAAGCAGGAAGAATTTGTTATTCATGTCATGCAACAATATCCTAACCTTTTTGGTCACTAATGTCATTCATTTATTCTTTATTCTTTTCTAAAGAAAAAAAAAATTACAAACCACAAGGACTTCTGAAATAGCTATTGGTAAATATCCCCTAACAACACTTCAAATTTAGCCAATCTTTATAAAACAGATTTTAATATTTATTCTTGAACTTCAGCAGGCTAGAGTAGGCCATCCATAAGACTTAAACTGGGGGGTGGTGGCAAATTATTCTTTGTTAGCAATTAGGGAAATATGAGGCTTTTTAGATCAGATTTCTTGTGGCATTGGAGAATAAATTAGGCAGATCACATGAAAAGAAAAAAAATATTTCAAATGCTGGTACACCTTTCTTTGGTTAGAAGGTATGCAAACATCAGTTTGAAGTCTTCCACTGCCAAAGGGAAGCTCTACACAACCACACATAATCTGCATACTGCCAACTCCAGTGCCCAGCATCTCTCAAAGGGGCTTTTAGAACTTGTGTTCATATAAGCAGCACAAGTTGGGCTTCTTATCCACAATGTAGTTTACAGGAAACTCCCAAGAATGATAATTTCTTTTTTATGAGGTTTGAATCAATTTCCAAAGAACAGAACATCAACACTCATATGACGACCCTGCAAAATCACTTCCCCAGATTAATGTGTCTACAAGGCAAAATGATAACGTGAGCTGCTCTGGAGATGTACTGCAATAGTTAACTGCAAATCTGGTTTGTTACACTCAAGTCGTAATGCAAGTATTTTATTAATTGCAATGCTTGATTCAAACATCCAGTGTGTTTAAATATTCAGAAAAAAACATTTGTCTCTTGCCCACCCACACAAGACAGTTTGAAAAGACATCAAGGTTTTTCCAAATCATTTAGTCCAATGATGAGGTTCAGAACAGAACATTAAAAGAAAAATTAGCATCATGTGACAATCCCTCACATCCAAGTGACGCAAATATATTTTTGAAAAAATGTTTTAACTTCTGCTTTTAAAACACGTTGGGGAGTAACATGTTGAAAGTTCACTCCATTTTTGAACTTTTTGGGGTGGAAGAGGGATTAAATGAAAAAGTTTCAGTATAAGTTGCCTTTTGATATCATATAAATATGCTTAGCAGGCAAAGCCTGCCTCACCTTACACTGGGGATACCCTCCATAAAACCATTGCTATTTAATACTGCGTATGTGAATACCTCATATTTAAACATTAAATAAATGAATCGATCTTCCTTCAGTTTCTTTAGATTCACCATAGAGACCTTGCCATGATAATTATATTTTGGAAGCATTAGTAGGGGCTCCTGGGTTAAGGTTGAGTGGATTTTTCCACCAAGGCAGCTTACTTTCAATTTTGTCCTACGAAGATACATTAGTCCAAACATGAAATGCCTATTATTTAATCTGTATCAGATGCAATTTAGAGGAAAATACTGAAAAAGTATTAGGAATACTTTAAGAGTTCTGAAATTAAAACACTCATTCACCAGAGTGATACTCAGTCCAATGCTTGGGGTTACTGGGTGCTACTCATAACAATAATTTAACTCAGTAATAGACCACACTGTAGCTGAAGAGCAGCTGGGATTGACAACTACTCCTTTTTGACATCCTCTGTATACTCTGTTTCAAATCGTGAAGGGTACTGGTGCAGCTCTAAGTCTTGCAGGGATTATTTTATAAAATTTAAATAAACTAAACTGAAGAATTAAAGCAGAGCAGTACTTCAGAAGTTAGAAAAGAGAACTTTCTAGACGTCTACTTCCAATTATAAATTGTCATAGGAGTGTTTATAAAGTAAAGACATTTTTGAAGAGTTTATTATTTTTTGGTGCCTAGCTTCATTTTATTATATTGTTTAAATTCTTTGGGGGTAAATTTTCTTTTTTTTTTTTTTAATAAATGTGCTATTAACAAATTATTTTATCTGTGACTGAGGTTAGTATTGTAGAATAAATGAATTCTTTAAATTCTGTTGCTTTTACAGCTAAATATACCAACATGGAGAGAGAATGTTTTTAGTTGGACTCCTAAAGAATGTTGGTACTCCATTATAAATATTAAGATACATTGGTTTGGAACTGAAACTGTGTCAAATTTTGTATATCTTGTTGTTCATCAGCATCATTATATATGTATACTTTGTTAAATATAAGTCTTAATGGAAGTATTTTGCAGAATTTGATTTTTTTTCATTCTATATTTTAAATAATAAATTGGATGATAAATGAGTAATCTAGTATGAAACCTACATAAGAGGTGTTTGACACAATAAACAAAAATTAAGGAAACCACCATTTTAAAAAATGTTTTTAGACTTTACACAAAATAATATAATAAAAAAAAGGAAATATTTTTTTAAGTTAATGACCTGAACTGCTTTCTTCTGATTGCCACAGTTTTTAACCCTTCAAACTTTCTGATCTCAGCATTTTATGCCTAACTCCTTTATTTATGCCTAAATCCTTTCAGATTGCCTTTAAATTAACTAGTTAGCTTACTGATATAATAAACTGGAATGAGTTGGGTTTGGGTTTTTTTTAATCTGGAGAAGGTTCTTGTCAAAAGCAATTTGATTGATTGCTTCCATTTACTAGCTATAGATCCAATTGCTTTGAGAAAAAAAGTTTCATTTTCTGTATCATTTCAGTAGCTAAACCATGCTGCTAGTGTATTCTTTTTATTCCACTTAAAAGATTACCTAGAAGTTTACAACACCAAAAAAAACCCAAAGGAAACAAGACCAAAACACTTGAGCATAGCGAAGATTTAGACCCAAGGAGCTCTTTAAAGGAAAGCAATAGATATTGTTTAACCCACAGTATTCTTCAGAAATGTTTTGATTTCTTTTCTATAAAAATAAACAGAAAATGGTGCCCACTGGAGGTTTCCAGATAGACAAGGGTAACTGCCTGGGAGATTTTAGAAGCAGTAAGGAGACGGAGCCTAGAAGTAGAAGCTTGGGAGGCATGGGTAAAGTTAATTGGTGTTGAGGGGAAAAAGATTTGATAAATTCAGTCACGCAGAAGAACCCTAAAGAGCAATCACATACCTTTGGCAGGCCTACCATACTTGCAGGGCAACAATGACAAGGTTGGAAACCTAATCTTCAGAACCTGAGAGTGAAGAAGTAAAGGGTGCTTCGTGGCTGCTGTTCCAGTTTAGCGAGCAACAAGAGGTCTGTAGGTTAGGGGCAGGCATTTGTGAGTTCCTACCTCTTCATTCCCTTGTATTCAATTTGCAGTGTCTCATCAAGGGTCTGCTTCCTACCAGACCTCAAATGCCTTCTATTCCTGCTCAGCATCATGTCTCCTTATATCCCATTGACCCTACTACCCTATACATAGCCAAGACTCATTATAACACTCTTACTGCAGCTCTTCTAGCACAGTCTCATATTTTCTTCCCAGTGTTTCTATCTCGGGAAAGTCAGAAAGTCAAATATTTGCTTCCATCCTTCCACATGAAAGGCATAAACCAGCCTTGAAAGCCAGCCCCATATGAAGGCCACACACCTTCCTCTGACACCATCCAGAACTGAACTTCAAAAAGTACTCAGGGAGGCCCAGAGAAATCTGCTGGTATGTCTGATTAGCACAGCCTATTTCTAAACAGATGACATTTTTTAAAATGTTACACCACACTTCCCACAAGATTTGTATGTTAATGCTAGAAGAACAACATTCTGACCTCACTGAAATGCATGGCAAAGGTCCTAATTGCTTCAGCAAGGGCAATTTTAAATTAATAACTTTCTTATCCCATCAGATAGACCATAGCCCACTGCAATGACTTTAATGGGCAGAATTAATATTAAAAACCCTAAAGAGGTATAATCTTTCATGATAAATATATATTTATGAAGTGAGAAGTGAAGAAGAGCCGTACTCCAAAAGTTAGAAAAGCTAACTTTCTAGAAGTCTATTTTCAATCACAAGCTGTCACAAGAGTTGTTATAAA